TCCCCCAGAACTCCCCATTAAATGTAATAATAAAACACCGGTGCATCCTAACAAATAAAAAACATGTTTTATCATGCAAGAACCGCTTTGGAATTCTACAGAGGAGTGCCCAATGCAGAAGCTGGAGAAAGGAGGACCTGGCCTCCCTTTGGCAGCTTAGAAAGTGCCTTTATGGCAGAATTATTATCAAACCTCCCTCAGCAACAACACTGGAATGAGATTTTATGCACGGAACTCTTCTTTATATTTTCCTGAGATCACAGAGGTTACTTGGGGTCATTTGAGAGCCTGATCAGGGTTATTTTAGGTCATTGGGGTCATTTGAGGTCATGGTTGAGGTTATTTCAGGTCTTAGGGGTCGTTTGAGGTCATGATTGAGGTTACTTCAGGTCATTGGGGTCATTTGAGGTCATTGGGGTCACTTGAGGTCATTTTATCATTTTTCGTTCAGCCAGGGGTTACTTGAGGTCATTTCGAGTCCCTCTTTGGGGTTACTTGAGGTCATTTGAGGCCCTGATCGGGGTTACTTGAGGTCATAGGGGTCATTTGAGGTCATGATCTGGGTTACTTCAGGTCACAGGGGTCATTTGAGGTCATTTGAGGCCCTGATCAGGGTTACTTCAGCTCACAGGGGTTATTTGAGGTCATTGGAGTATTTTTTAATTGATCTGGGGATTACTTGAAGTCATTTATGTCTCCATTAATTAATGTGTGTCTCCATTAATTGGTTGTCCAAATGTGGACACAGGGGTTCCTTGGGGTCATTTGTGTTCCCATGAATTGATTGTGGGATCAAATGTGGACACGGGGATTAATTCTTCTGAGCTGTGGCCAAATGGGAAGGGACACTTTGGTGTTATGGACCCAACAGTGCCAGTCCAGTCCAGGGGACCCCAAGGGCTCAGGTGACAGCAGTGGCCTGTGGTGTCACCATCCTTTGTCCTCTGTCCTCTCAGCATAGTGACAGAGGCTGGTTATTAGCTTTATTAATATTTATTATTAATTAGTAATATTTGTTTATTGTATTAGTATTTATTATCATCTCCTGTAAGCAGCAGCATCTATGGAATTGCTGTTAGCTGTTAATACAATCATCAATAAATTCTACTGTTGGGATTACATTATCTATTAAATTATCTATTATCTAAAAATTATCTATTATCTAAAAATTATCTATTAAATCTATTAAATTCTATTTACAATATTATCTTTCAAGATCCAGTAGTACAATCACCTATTACAACCTAAAACTATGATTATTTCTTATAATAAAGAAATTTATTAATATTATAATAATTATATAATTATTGTAATATATTAATATATAATAATAATATAGTTATATATATTTATATATATTTTATTATACATAGTTATATATAGTATATATATACTATATAGTATATATAGTTATATATATAATATATTATATATATTATATATATAGTTATATATAATATATATTATAATAATTAATATATAAAATAATTATCTAATATTAATATATTATATATAGTTATATAATATATTAATATTATATAATTATTTATAATAATAAAGTAGATTTAATAATATTGGCAATTAGCAATATATTATTAGCTGCTACAGGGGTATAAATGCATCCTATGGAGCCTCCATGGGATTATGGAATTCCCTTCCCACTCAAACTCCTCAACTCAGCTTGGAATCTTTATTTTCACACAGATTAAAAAAAGCCTTGCAATTAGCAAGACCAAAAAAAATCCCAACTCCTGGAAATGTTCACACAATCCAAATAAAAATATATCCAAGCGAAAGGTTTTTGCTGGGACAAAACAAACCCCTGAGATGTCCCTGACTGCTCTGTCTCATCTTGATTTTGGGGGTTGTGCTGGCTCCCACCCAGCTCCAGCCTTTCAGGTGAGTGCAGTGAGTGAGAAGGTCTCTAAATGTCATCCCAGATCTCCAGAAATTTCCCTTGAGGCTGCCAGAGCAGGCAGGGAGCCCCTGGTTTACAGCCTGATGAACCAGCCCCTCCAAGCCTACAAAAATCAGCAAGTCTTTAAGTTCCCTTCCCACCCAAACCACTCCAGGACTCTTTGCCAGCTGCATCTGTGGGATTTTCCCAGTTTCACCCCCAAACTGGGGAGGATGGGAGGATGCAGCCCCACAGCAGAGGCACAGCCCCGCGTTGCAGATCCTGGCCAGCCCCAAATTCCCTGCAAGCTGCTGCCAGCCCTCCCGGCAGGGCCCTGAATCCGCCCGGCCCTCCCTGGCTCCAGCTGGCTGAACAAGCTGGCAGCAGCAGAAAGAGAGGAAAAGCCTCTTCTGCTGAGGGGAAAAAAAAAAAGATTGGGAGAAGTCTCCATAAATCCTGAGGCAGTTACTGGTGGAGAGCACTCCCCTCCTCCTGCAGCACAAATTATGGCCCCAGCTCCGCTGTTGTTCAGTGATGAACATCTGAAAAGGCTGTGACAGATGAGAGGAGGGATGATTTAACAGCCATAAATCCAGCCAGCTTAGAGGTGTTTTTACAACCAAACCCATCTTGAATCCCCTCTGTTATGAATACTTATCACTCCCAGACACTGCCACAATGGGAAGATTTTTAACAGCTTTAATAGAGAGGCAATAAAAGCCCCAGAGCCGGGCGAGCAGCCGTCCTTTGATCCCTCCCGAGGGAGGGAGAGGGGCTGGGAGCGGCTCCCTGGGCTCAGCCTCGAAGGAGCAGAGCTGCAGCAGCCTCTGGGCTGACCCTGCCTTTAATGGATGGGTGGAATCACCCCAGAGTGGATCAGCTCTCCCAAAGCTGCTGCGTGGTGTAATTAACGGTGTAATTAACACCGGGCAGGGAAGGGGGACAGGGGACAGGCTGTGCCTGTGACATCCAGTACCTGCTCCAGGGGCTCCTCCTGCATTCCCACCTGCCCTGGCACACCTGCAGGGACTTAAACCGAGGCTGGCTCCAGCTGACCCTCTTGGGTGTGGTGACACCGCTTTTTAACTTTTTAACAGTAAGGACTAAATGGGCTCAATGGCCACCACCTGAGCAGGACAGGGACGCTGTCCCTTGGCACTTCCCAAGCAGGACAGGGACGCTGTCCCTTGGCACTTCCCCAGCAGGACAGGGACGCTGTCCCTTGGCATTTCCGAAGCAGGACAGGGACGCTGTCCCTTGGCACTTCCCAAGCAGGACATGGACACTGTCCCTTGGCACTTCCCCAGCAGGACAGGGATGTTCTCCCTTGGCACTTCCCCAGCAGGACAGGGACGCTGTCCCTTGGCATTTCCGAAGCAGGATATGATCCCTGTCCCTTGGCACTTCCCAAACAGGACAGGGATGTTGTCCCTTGGCACTTCCCAGAGCTCAGGAGATCTCCCAGCTCCAGGGTAACCGGTCATTCATGGATCTCACACCCTCCCAGGCTGGGATTCAGCAGCCCCAAATCCCATCCCCACTTCCTAAAGTGCCTCCCAAAAGGATTCTAAGCACCCAACCAGCAAAACCAGGAAAAAGGAGGTGCCAGGGGGCACCTGCTGCAAAGGGCACGTGGAGCTGGGCAAATACCTCAGGAACAAGCCCCTCCCTTCCTATACACACAAACTTATCAGGCACAGCCGGGTGATAAGGAACTCAGCAGGTGGAGGGAACAGAACTGATCCCAGGCTCTTTGTTTTCCACAGCTGAGCAGTGGAAACACCCAGGGAAAACACCAGGGAAAACACCCAAGCTTTGGGGCTGGTGGGTTTCCCTCCTGCACAATAAAAACAAGGAGCAGGGAAAGCTCCTTCCTCGGAAAAACGTGGCTAGCAAGAGAGTAACCAGCCCTGCAGGACGAGGAACAGGCTCAGCCTGGCCACACAGAGACCTGAGGGGACGTGGGCTCTGAATCCTGGCTGGAACGTGACATTCCCAGCCTGCTAACCTAAGGGAACAGCTTTTCTTTTAATAAGATAATACTGAGTAATTGATTTTTAAATACACTGAAATCAAATGTCCTGAGGCCAGAGCAGGATCCCAGCTCTGCCATCAGCTCCGAGGCCGCTGGCAGAGATGGAAAGCACAAGGGAAAAGAAAATAAAAATGAAATCTCCTTCAAGTGCCTCTCTGGCTCCGGGGCAAATGTGAATATCTCTGTAAAAGGTACAACAATTTTTCTCTATTAAAAAATAGATCATCAAAAGGGAGAAGCTGGTGGAGGCACCAGGGACCAGTGAGGTCGAACAATGTGGAGAAAATCCATCTGCTTAAAAAACACAACAACAATTGAGAGAAAATATTAATTTCTAAGATAATTTATTCCAATCTCTCTCTCTCTCTCTCACATCCCATCCTTCACACAGTCCCAGTCAGGGAGGGTTTATGGCTATTTTTTATTGGATTTTAATTGTTTTTATAGAAAAATACACATGCAAATAATATATATATACTTCAGCGCTGAACATTTCTTTTCATGTTGGAAAAAATAATAATAATAATAATAAAGAAATGAGGGAGGATTTGGGAAAGACCTGAGTGGAGACAGAGACAGGGAAGGCCACGGGGATGGGATGCTCCAGGAGCTGCTCATGGTGCAGCACATTTTATCCAGCAGGAAGGGGTTTTTGGGAATGAGGGACCAACATCAGCCCCTGACCCCAACAAAAACCCTTCTCCAGTGGCTCTGCCCAGGTTTGGGAATGGCCAAGGAAAAATTGGTGCTGGATTTGTCCTTCCCACAAGACCCAGCACAGATCCCATCCCCAGCAGCAAGGGAAGCCCAGCTTAGGTAAAAGCATCACTTTGATGCTTGGAAATGACACCAGAAGCCAAGAGCTAGGTGGGAAAATTATCCTTTTATGCTATTTCCTATGGGATACAGCTGGCAGCACAGGGAAAAGGGATTGTTTGAAACCTGGACTCGTGTTTCAGGGTGATGGTTTTGGGTGAGGCTGTTGGATCCTTGGCTGGGCGTTTCTGCTCCTTGCACAGGGGAGCAGTGATGTGCCCATGTCCCCAGTGATGTCCCCAGCGATGTCCCTGTGTCCCCAGAGATGTCCCCATGTCCCCAGAGATGTCCCTGTGTCCCCAGAGATGTCCCCATGTCCCCAGCCTCTCTGCAAACACCGTGCCAAGGTCCAAGGGATAAAACAGACCTGCAGCCCCTGGAGCAGAGCAGGAGGTGTCCTTTGGACAGGGCTGCTTCAGGTTTGATGGATGAGCAGCTGGAGCAAAGGAGGGGGCAGAGAGGAGCAGCCTGGGGAAGGAGGACATTAATCTACTGCCACAGGGTGCCGGGAGGCTTTGGGAAATGTCACAACGCAGCAGCATCCCCGCACTGACAGGGCAGCAGGGAGAGGGATGAGGTTTTGTCACCTCCTCCCAAGGCAGGCAGAGCTCCTCTGCCTCTGCCTGCAATCCTGCCCAAGGCCATGGCTTTTTTCCTACTGATCCAGGCTAATGATATGGAGCAAAGTGCTGTGCCTCTGCCCAGAGGGGCAAACCCACACAGGCAGCACGGTGAAGGCTTCCCAAGGGAAGGATTTCCCTCCAGCTCCCAGGGAGGGTGGCAGCAGAGCTCTGCCATCCCCACCTCTGTCCCCAGCAAGGCGCCACCCTGCCCATGTCCCCAGGCAGTGGTGCCACCCTGCAGACAGCACAGAACCTCGCTGAGGGGTGGCTGGGGGCAGCCCCAGCTCCTGGCTGTGGTCCCTGCCATCACCTCCAGCATCAGCGAGGGGACTCCAGCAGGGAAAGGCAGCCTTGGACCCCTCTGGATTTACCACCAGAGCCCTCATCATGGGAGTGCTGCACACACAGCGCCTGGGGGCTGCACTGCCACGCTCTTCCTGCCTTCCCCTCGTGTTTTGTTTTGCCTTTTAACCAACCAAATTCACTTTTGGGAGCGTCTACTCCGACAACAGAGGCGGGAGGGTCTGGCGAGGGCGGGGGCTGCTTGGCTCCTATGTCTACAGGCTGCCCTGGGGCAGCTCTAGAGTTTGATGGACGATCATGCAGGTTTTATTGCAGCTCGTGGTGCGGTTTGGTTTGTCGGTAGCCCAGCTGCGGTCTCAGGTAGCCCCAGGGTGGGCTCCTCTCCCTCCCCACCTGGCCGGCCGCCGTCTCCGCCTCTGCCCAGCGGCTACTCCGGGGCCATCTGCTCGATGTGGTCACTGAGCAGCTTGTATTGCTCTGGGAAGGAGAGAGAGAAGGGCTCAGGGAGGCTGCTGAACCAGCCCATCCACGCTGCATCCCCCCAGAATTCCGGAATTCCAGCTGCACATCCCCCGGGCTCTGCCCTACCTTCGTCCAGGTTGCCGATGGTCGCCTGCTTCTTCAGGAAGTCACTGCAGAGCTTCTTGTTGAGGCCAAAGGCCAGCATGTTGTGGATGAAGGTGCTGAGGGAGGAGAGAGAGGTTCTGGGTGAGAAAATGGCCAGGCTGCCCCTTCTTCCCCCCACCTTCCTCCCCCCCCTCACAGCCCCTTGCATGGGATGATGCTCAGCTCGGTCCCTTTGGGTGCTCAACAGAAAGGACAGGAGTGGTCCCAGGGAGAAGCATCAAAGATGCTCTGCCCCATAAGGGATGTGCCCAGAGGGGGAGCAGCTGGGAGGTGTCCCCAGGGGGGTCCCCGTGCCCTGCTCACCCCAGCTGCCCGAAGGTGATGTTCTCGTTGAAGCGCAGGCTGTCGTCGCGCTCCTCCTGCGTCATGTGGCACCACTTCTCCCTGCAAGGAACAGGCCAGTCTGGCACCACTCTGTCACCACTGCCACCTCAGCACCCCCTGCCTGCTTCCTCCCACCCTGGGCCACGCTGCTGGAGGACAGGAAGGCACCGAGAGCCCCTTGGAGCACGGGAGAGCCCCTGGGTGTTGGATGAGCTCACAGCATGGATCCATCTGCAGAGCTCCTGCCCTGGAGCAAAGCAAGAGATGCCCCAGGAAAAAAAAAAACCTTATTCAGCCTTGGCTTTGCCTGGAAAGGCCCTGATTAAGAGCTAAAAAGAGCATTGGTCCCTCCAGCACAGAGCTCACCATGGGCACGGGGAGGAAGCAGGGGTGGCCATCCCAGCAGGGCTCTGCTGAAGCCCCCCAGCCTAGGGGAGGGTGACAGGGGGACACCAGGCAGCTGTTCCTCATCTCCAACTCCCCAAATCCCTGCCAAGGTGCTCCCCAAACATACCCCCCCCTCAGACAGGAGCTCCCATACCCATCCCCACGGGCCAGCAGTGCCCTGAGGCTGCCCTGGCCCCACTCTGGCTCCCTGCAGCTGCCGCAGCACCTTCAGGGCTGCAGGGGCTGAAGCTCTGGGTGTTTGCAGCCAGCTCTGGGCAGGGGCAGAGTCCCCACCCCGGGGATGAAGCCTGTGCCACAGGGATGTCCCTGGGGTGGTGGCAGCAGGGCTCGGTGCACACATGCCAGGGAAACTACAGCTCCAGGGTGAAGGCAGCCCCTTCCCGAGAACCAGGTGAGGTCACAGCCAAGGACAGGAGGAGGAGAAGCGAGGAGAAACAGGGATAGGCAGAAGAAAAATGGAGGAGAAGGAAGAGGAGAACACCAGGAGAAGAAGGGACACTGGTAGCTGGGCAGAACAGCAAGCAGGAGGAGAGAGCTGTGCTGGGGGGGAAATTGAGATATGGGAGATCTCACCCAAAATTCAGAGATGCTGGCTCGGCCCCAGTGTGGCTGGAACTGGGAGAAAATGGGTGGTCAGACAGGCTGACCCCACAAAGGGAGCCAGTCCCCACTAAATCACCCCAACCCAGATGTGCAAAGTGCTGAGCTGAGCCAGCAGCTCATTGTTTACAGGGCTCTGGAAATGCACACAACATGTTTCAGGGGAAATTTTTTAAATAAAAGAAGGTGTAATTTCTCTCAGATAAAGCTTAGGATAACAAATAAAACCCACAGCCAAATGCAGAGGCTGAAAGGAGAGGGGAAGAATCGAATTAAGGGGCTTTGAAATCTGGAAGCAAAACTTCACAGACCCCACTGGCTCACTTACAGAAGAGGCATGTTTGTAACTCTTTTTTTCCTGCCTTTTTATGTTTTGGAGGAAGGAAGAAGGGAGAAAAAACATTATCAAAGTACCCTACAAAAAAATCTGGCCGTGTTTCTGGCTTATTACTGGAGAGTAACATGCCTGGGAAGGGAGAAAACCCACATGTGGCTCCACTCAAAGCCTTTGATCTTCACCAGCAGGACAGGAACAGGGGAGAGGAACCCCCTGGGCTGTGGGGTTGGATTTTGGGGTATCCAGGGAAGCCTTGCTGTGCCTGGAAGTGCTGAGAAGTTTCCATCAACTCCTTTCTCTTCCAGCAGCAGCAAACCCCAGCAGTGACATTTACACCATCCCTCAGCCAGGACATCCCTCAGCCACACAGAAAATTCACTGCCAGGCTTCCAAAACTCCTCATCCCCTTGCTGATGCCATCACCTGGAGGGATTTGCCCCCATTCCCCTCACTCCAAATGAGCAGTGACTGCTCCCAGCTCGTGGCCCCAAGAACACGCTCCCAATTGTGACATGCAGCCCTCCCCATCTGCAGTTTTAATTTTGTTAAGGGATGGCAGCAGAAAAGCGCATTAAAAATGGAAAAGGAGCAGCTTTTCCAGCTGGCAAAGGATCCCCAGCACCTCTAAGTGGCAGCAGAAGCCAGGAGCAAGCAGGAAGGACAGGAGAGGGGGACGCTTTCCACACAAAGAGACTCAGTTCATGCCCAAAACCTGCCCAGAGGGATGTTCCCAGAGAAATATCACAGCTTGAAACCATTCAGGCTCCTTTTCAAGAGCCACATGAAAGAGGAGCCGATCTAAACCCCTCAGGCCCTTGGGGAGGGCGATGCTCACGCTCAAACCTCCATGGAGAAAGGGCCTTGCAGAGCCCCCCAAAACACATCCCCCCGTCCCCAGGGCAGCATCTGGACCTGAAGGGAGCCTGTGGACACTGAGGAAGGACAGGGAAGGACAGACACACCTCTTCTCCTCTTCCTCCCCAGGGTTCCCTCTGGAGCGGCGGCAGAAACGGGGCCCACAAAGGAGGCGCGAGAAAAGGACATGCAAGACACAGGGGCGGGGGGAACGGAGAGAGGAGGAGATGGAAGAAGGTTGTTAGAGGCAGAGAGAGAGAGGAAAGAGAGAGAAAAAGAGGAGTTTAGTTGTGATTCCTTCCCCACCCTCCCCTGCCCTCCCCACGCAGAGGAGGAAAATCCTCCCCAAAGGTCTCGCAAAGGACAAAGCTCGGGCACCCCAGAGATGTCCTGGTCACCCCGGAGATGTCCTGGTCACCCCAGAGATGTCCTGGTCACCCCGGAGATGTCCTGGCCACCCCAGCACAGAGGTGGCCTCAGCCCCATCCTCATGGATCTCCTGAACATCTGCCATGGCCATGGGCCGACCTGGAATTCCAAACCCAGCCCCAATCCCAGCAGGGATTTCAGTCCTCAGCTCACTGTAAGGACTCTGCATCCTCTCCAATGACTCGGGGGGGGGTCACCACCACCACCACCTCCCAACCCCCTGAGACACACAGGATTCTCCAGGCTGCAGCTCCCAAAGCTCCTTTGTCAGCCAGGCTTGCTCCAGCTCAGCCATCAGATTAATTGGGAGAGGCACCGGGAGCAGGGAGCAGCTGCCGGTGGCGTCTGTCCTTGTGAGGCACTTGCTGCTGCTAATTTGGGGCTTAATCAGAGCAAATGCAGTTATGGCCACGCTGCTGCTCTGCAGGCTCTTCCCTGCTTGCTTGACAGAAGAAAAGGAAAGCAATAAAGGGGAAAACAGGGATTGATCTGAGAGCTGAGCCTGGCACAGCATCCCGGGGCGTGAGCCAGGGCTGCTGCGCTCAGCTCGGGGTTTGGAGGACACAGAGGGGGCTGGCAGAGCTCTGAGATGGGGAAAGGGGCAGCTCCAGGGCTCCAGGGAGAGCTCAGAGCCTCAGGCACTGCGCAGACAGCGGGAGGGGCTGGCTGGGAGTGGGAAACTGCTGCCAGGAGAGGAGGGAGAGGCCGGAGCCCTCACACAGCTCCGGGTGCAGCGAGAGACGGGCACAAGCTCGGTGGGTGTCTCACCCACTTCTGCACCCCCTGACACGAGCAGCCCCTTCCCTGGAAGGTTTATCCCAGTTTTGGGGTCTGGCAGTGTCACCATCCCCAGCTTCTCTCCTTGCTGGCTGCTCCTGGGGACAGCTGGGACATCCCCCCCATCCTGGTGGCTGCACCGAGCACCTCCCAGACCCAGTTTGCCACCTCCCTGCTGGCAAACTCAGCACCAGCAGCCCGAGCCCTGGCTGGGATTTCTGGGCACATCTCTAGGGTTTGGTTCCCCCAAAAATGCTGCACAAGAAGCAAGAACCCCATTCCTGCTCCCAAAGCCCTGCCAGGCTGCAGATCTCACCAGCACTGCCCAGTTCTCCCGGCAGGATTCCAGTGGGGATGGAAATCAGAGCATTTCCCCAGGGCTGGACGAGCCCAGGGCTGTTGGGGGGAGCTCCCTGGGGGGCTGGAGGGGACACAGGGTGTCCTTTTCCCACAGGGACATGCCCTACCTGGTGGTGGGGGATCTCTTCCTGCGCTCGCAGTGCACGGCGTCGAAGAAGGCGGCGTTCCAGAAACGGAGGTTGTGCCTGCAGGGAGGGAGGGAATGCTGGGAATGGCTAATTGGGATTGGTAATTGGGTACCAGAGAGTGCCCAGAGCAGCTGTGGCTGCCCCTGGATCCCTGGAAGTGTCCAAGGCCAAGTTAGATGGGGTTTGGAGCAGCCTGGGACAGTGGAAGGTGTCCCTGCCATGGCAGGGTGGGATGGGATGGAATAATGGCATGGAATAATGGGATGGAATAATGGGATGGAATAATGGCATGGAATAATGGGATTTAAGGTCCCTGCCAACCCAAACCACTCCAGGATTCCCCAGTCTCACCCATCTTGTCCCTGAGTCCTCCCAAGGGTCAGGGTGGGCCCAACAAACCTGGCAGATTTCTGCACCAGCCCTTTGGTGGCTGCAAACACACTCTCCCATTAGCACAAGGGACGTGCCAAAGCCAAGGCCAGCTCTGTTAGGGGCACTGGTGACCATCTGGACACACGGACAGCAGGACAGACCCTCCCCAGGCAGGGCCAGCTCATCCAGGGGCTTTACCAGATCGGCTGCTGCTTGAGGTGCATGTACAGGTAGATCTTCTCCCCTTTCTTCTCCTCCTCTGGGCTCTGCAGGGACACTGTGGGGACACACAGTCACACACCAGCACCTGAGGGACTCCCAGCTTCCCACCCACGTGTGCATTTTGGTGGCTGAGCAATGGGATGGATTGCAAACCAAACACATCCCTGCAATGGGAGGAGCAGCTCTGAGTGCCCTTGGAGGGCAGGGATCAGCCCTGAGGAAGGCAGGGATGTCCCAGGAAGACCCTGGAGGGACTGAAACACTTTGGGAGCACTCACAGGTGCTGGGGGAGACTGCTGCACCACCAAAGCCCAGGGACAGTGGGTGCCCAAACCTCTGCAGCCTGTGGCACTGAGGACAAGACCCTCACAGGATGAGAGTTGTGATTGGAATTTCAAACCTAATCCCAAGGGATTCCAGCCTTTCCACCCCTCTCTCCTTCCCCAGGGGTGCCTTGGCCATTCCTATTTCATCAGTGCTGGCTGCACTCACCTGTCTTCTTCAGCTTCTCCTTTGGTTTGTCCTCACCTTCTCTGTGGCACAAGAAATCAATGTCAGCTCCAAAAATCCTGTACCCCCCAACAGCCCATGGCCCCCTGGCAGAGGGAACCTCATTTGAGAGACCGCCTGATCCCATGCCACCCAGGGCCAGAAAGCTGACAAAGAGACAGTGAAACAGTGACATCCCTCCCCTCAGCACAGAGATGATGCTCAAGCTTGGAACCACAAAACTCCGTGGCAGTCTCAGTTTTGAGACAAATCAGGAGGAATCAGGACAATGGCCAAGGGAAGCAGGCCTCCCAGCCCATGAGGTGACAGTGACTGAGGATGGGACCAGGCTCTGGTGGCCGTGGCAGCCCCACGGTGGCCCCACACCCCATGGTGCCAGCCCAGCCCCCCAAGGGAGTGGTACCCACTCGCTCCTTTTGCTGCCAGGACCCTTCAGTTTGGTCTCCAGGCCCCCGAAGAAGCCCTTGACGTTCTCTGTCTTGGCTGAGGTGTTTTTCAGCAGCCTCTCTGCAATGTCTTTCTTCTCAGCCAGCCACGTGTTGGCTGACTTCAGGTACGAGTCGATGCTGCCCGTGGGCTTCTCCTTGGCCTCCAGGGGCAGGGCCTGGGGCTTCCCTGGGGAAAATGTGCCAGGAGCTCAGTGGGCACGCGGCCCTGAGTGCTGCCAGCTGCTGGGGACCTGCATCCAGGCCCAGGCTGCACCACCAGGAGATGGGAGCACCCCAGATCCCATCCCAGCTCCTGGAGGTTTTTATTTTTATCCTCCTCACTCCCGTTTTGGATAGAAAATCCAGCCCCCCTGTGGAGGAGCAGCCATTGCACACCAAACAATAAACCAAGGTGTTTCTGGGCTGGGATCACCTGGGGGTTGTCACACACAAATATTCCTGCCTAGAAGTGAGCACAAAGCAGCATCACCACCCCAGCAGGAGCTCTGCCAGGTTTGCATGGATTCTGGGTTCTTTCCCATCCCAGTTCCTGGAGGTTTTTATTTTTATCCTCCCCACTCCCCTTTTGGACAGAAAATCCAACCCTCCTCGTGGAGGAGCAGCACACCAAACAATAAACCAGAATGCTTCTGGGCTGGGGTGCTCACATCCCACCCTGGGGGCTGTCACACACAAATATTCCTGAGCACAGAGCAGCCTCTCCCCCCCAGCAGGAGCTCTGCCAGGTTTGCATGCATTCTGGGCTCTTTTCCACCCCTCCATCACCTTCCCCATGCACAGGACACATTTCACAGCAGCAGAGCCCCCTGAGGGGTGCAGGCTCCCTTACCTATGTAGTAATAGGTGAAGCACATGGTCATGAGGTTCTTGGCAGGGCTGAAATCGTCCATCTGGTGACACCTGGCACGGAGGGAGGGCTCAGTGAGGACACCCCGTGATGGGAGCCCACAGAGCTCTGCCCTCAGGGCCTTTTGGACCCTTCAGTTTGGTCTCCAGTTCCCACCAAGCCCCAGAGGGCCCCCAGGACTTACTCAAAGAGCACGAGGGCGAAGGACTGCATCAGGCGGTAGAAGGTCTGCTCTGAGACACACTTGGAGTTGCAGCGCTGCAGGGACAGAGCCCAGGGTTCAACAGCAGCAGGGACAGAGCCCAGGGTTCACACAGCACAGGGACAGAGCCCAGGTATCACACAGCACAGGGACAGCCCCCCAGGACCCTCCCCATGGCCAGGGAAAAGAGCCCTCATGGCTGAGATTCCCCTCAGATTCAGCGTTGTGCCTGTCTGGGTTTGGGTTTTTTTTTTTTTTTTTTAAGGAATGGGATGTGTCTGAGTGCTGGTGGGGTTTAATTTTAAATAAACCGAGTGAATTCTCTCCCACGTTGCACCAAGGGTGCATTTAACTGCTCAAAATGCATTTATTCACTCCTGTCTGTGGTTCCTCACTTTCCTTGAGTTCCTGCTCTCCAAAAATAATTCTCTGGGGTATGATTCAAGCCCCCTGCCCTGAGGCTGTTGCAGGATCCCTGTTCTCCCCAGCTCTCCCCTTACCTGGGCGCTCACGTATCTGGCAAACCACTCCCTGCCCTTCCCGTCCTCGCTGCTGCACAGCTCCCCAAACCTGGCCTTCTCCTCCTGGTCCAAATCCTCTCTGCAGCAGGGAAAGAATAAAAAACATCATTAAAGCCAAGGATGTGACCTGCACCCCCTCTTGGCATCAGCATGCTGGTGCTGGAGGAAGGCAGGGGAAGAGGAGGAGAACAGCATCCATTTTGTCATCCCTCGCCTTGTGCTGCTCTTTTCTCCCTCCCTGGCAGGAGGGAAACCAAAGGCAGGGAGAGAAGGGAAGAGCCAAGGACAGCGTGAGCAGAAACTGAGCTCCAGAGACAGGCAGGGAGCCCCAGAGCAAAACCAAGCCCTGTTGCTGCTCCTCACGCTCCATTTGCTGCATCCAGCCTGACACGGGGAGCTGGGGGACGCAGGGCTGGGGGCACAGCCAAGGGCTGCCACAGGGTCCCTGGGCACGTGTGGGCCACTGGCACTGCCCTGAGCATCCGTGGGGAGAGGGGATGGGGACAGGGAGCCCCTGGCATGGGAATGGGGACAGAGAAGGGAGGGAAGCTGGGGGTGGGAGATGTGGCCAGGAGAGGAGTGCAAGGAAAAAGCCACTGCAGCCATGATATTTTCTGAAAAATCCTTTCCTTGGGATTTTTCCTCCTGAGAAGCTGAGAGGCCTCAGGAACAAAATGTAAACAATGGTTATCTGCTGCTGTGGAATGCAACAGGCGCATCTGTGATTGGTCTCGTGTGGTTGTTTCTAATTAATGGCCAATCACAGCCAGCTGGCTCGGACACTGGCTGAGATACAAGCCTTTTTTATCATTCTTTTCTTTTCTATTCTTAGCTGGCTTTGTGATGAAATCCTTTCTTCTATTCTTTTAGTACAGTTTTAATAAAATATATATCATAAAATAATAAATCAAGCCTTCTGAAACATGAAGTCAGATCCTCATCCCTTCCCTCATCCTCAGACCCCAGCGATCACCATCACAAACTACGTCCCCCCAGCGCCATGGTGGGAAGGACAAACTGCTGCTCCTGGGGTGGGACAGCAGCCAGATCCACGTCTATCCTGAGGGATGTGCCTGGCCCTGCTCACTCACCCCCCAGTGAAGATCTTCTCCACGTAACCCCGCATGAACTCCCTGCGCTCGTCCCGCGGCGCCGACTCCGCGCTCTGGCCGGACGAGAGGGACTCGTTGGACGAGGAGCGCCGGGGGCCGCCCCAGTGCTGGGGAGAGCCCCCCATGTCGTTCTCGCTGTCTGCCGACTCGGTGGCATCGCTCTCCTCCGCAGCCACGTCCCCTGTGTCCCCCGTGTCACCGTTGTCATCCCCTCGGTGGCCGTTGTCACTGGGGGCAGCGGGAGCCGGCTCTGAGGGGTCACAGGCGGGCGTTTCGCTGTCAAAGTCAATGAGGTTCCCTACAGGCACATCCAGAGGGGCCTCCATGGCTGTCCCAGGGGATGTGGCACTGTTGGGGACACTCTCTCCTCGTCCTTTTGTCCCTCACTGGGGCGCTGAGGCCATGGCTGGCAGGACGCTGGCTAAGGCAGGCAGGAGCTGCTGGCAGGGCACGGGTTACCACAGCACATCTGAAAGGCACAAGGAGGACAAAAGTGGGGACAGGACCCCGGGGAGCCACCACCATGGAGCTTGGGCAAGGCCACCACCCACAATGTCCCCAAGATGTTTGTCCACAATGCAGGGACAGACAGAGCTGGCTCCTCTCCAGCAGCCACGTGAATCAGCAATCCCATGAAATGCTCACACGCTGCTGGCACCGCTCGAGAGGGTTTTCCATCCTTTAGCCCAGAAAAGGGACAACCGGAGCCTCAGCTCCATGTGTCACATTTGGGATGTGACACCTCGTGGCCTGACGGGCAGAACTGGGCTGGCAGGAGCCAGCAGCTGGCAGGACACTGGTGGCCCTCCAGGGCAGCCCTGGCATCCTCCTGTCCCCGGCCTCTCTCTGCTCAGGGCTCTGTCTGACCCCGTTGGGAAATGGGATCATCCTGGGGTGGAGCATCCTGGAGTTTAACACACATTGAGCTGGGAATGGAAGGGGGATGTGAGACACCACAGGAACTGGAATGGGATGAGGAAACAGAGCTCTGGACTGCAGCTGAGGGGTTTGACACCCCAGATTGCAAAGGTCCTGCAAGGGAGGTACAGAGAGCACAGGGATGGGGATGGACGGGGATGCTCCAGCACGTGCCCATCCTGGACAAAGGAGGCAAAGACAAGGCCACCCTGAAGCTGCTCCTGTGTCAGAGAGTCACAGAGAACTCCCTGAGGGTGTTTCTGCCCCAGGAGGGGGTGAATTGTAGTGTCTGAAACCCAGCACACACTGCAGCATCCAGGCACAGGCGGGACAGGAGCAGGGCCAGCAGCACAGGTGACAGTGACAAACCCAGGGCACCACGACAGCAACACTGACACAGGGAACTGATCCCAGGACACAGGCAAGCACCCCCAGAGCAGAAATCCCCCAAAGGACTGATGTCCAGCTCATCAGACAAACAGATCAGGCTGAAAGCAGATCTGACGTGTTTCACCAAGCACAGCAGAGTGGGAAAACAACCCAGGGCTGCAGGAGCAGCTGCTCTTCAGCAGCATCCCCCTCCTCCTCCTCCTCTCCTCCAGGGGTCCTGTGGGGCACAGGACAGTGAGGAAAACACAGCTCCTTGAGTGGCTGGGACAGCAGGGACAGAGAGAAAAGTCACCTGGGGTGGCAGAAGCCCTGCAGCCACCTCGGCTGGCAGCTTCTGTGCCAGCTTCCCTCACACTGAGCCCCTGGCACACGCCTAAAGCTGCTCCCAGGGACACTGCTGAGCCCCAGGGACACTGCTGAGCCCCAGGAGCTGGGCAGAGTTTGGCTCCCGAGAGAGAGCAACCCAAGGCTGCAGCACAGCAGGGACTGGCAGTGTTCCCATTCCCATGGGGATGCAGCCAGCTGCAGCCTGGCTCCGTGCCCTGGCAGTGTGACCCATCCCAAAGCACCCCTCCAGCTGCAGGGACATGCATCCATCCATCCATCCATCCATCCATCCATCCCTCCATCCATCCAACTGTCCATCCATCAATCCATCCCTCCCTTAATCCATTCCCCATCCATCCATCCATCCATCCATGGATCTATCCCTCCATCATCCATCCATCCATCATCCATCCATCCATCCACCCCTCCCTTAATCCATCCATCCATCCATCCATCCATCCATCCATCCATCATCCATCCATCCATCCACCCCTCCCTTAATCCATCCATCCATCATCCATCCATCCATCCATCCATCCAACTGTCCATCCCTCCCTTAATCCATCCATCCATCCATCCATCCATCCATCCATCCATCCATCCATCCATCCATCCATCCATATCCATCCATCCATCCGTCCATCCCTTCCCACTCCCACAGCAGCTGCAGTCCCTGATGGAGAGAAGGTTCCAGGGACACCTCAGAGCCCCTTCCAGTACCTAAAGGGGGTCCAGGAGAGCTGCAGAGGGACTTTGGATGAAGGCATGGAGTGACAGGACACAGGGAATGGCTTCCCCTGCCAGAGGACAGGGATGGATGGGACATTGGGAGGGAATTCTTGTGGTGAGGCCCTGGCACATGGGAAGGAGGACTTGGAGTCCAGCCCAGCAGCCCCAGGAGTGCATCCTGCTCACAGGGGGATGGGAAAGGTTTAACCCCTCACTGCCCAGCTCATGGTAAAGCCCTGCCCTTGAGTGAAGGCCACCAAGGTGTCCCAAGGCGTTGGCAGCTGCCCAGGCTCACCCAAAGGTTCTCAGCACAGAGCACAGAAGAGCTTCAAACCCAAAACCAGCTGCAGAACCAGCCCTGTCCCCACTCCCCAACCTCCTCATTGCTCCAGCAAGACAAATCCAGGGGAGGAGTAGCCAAAATTCCAAATGAGAGCCTCAGATCCCACAGCTGGCACCATCAGCTCAGCTGCACATCCCAGCACGGCCCAGGGGGGTTCCATGCCTGGCTGGGTCAAGTCTGACAGTAATTGAGGGTTCTGCAATAAAAAGGGACTTTTAGGCTGCTTGGCAGCCTTGGTACAACATCATGAGCGCCAGCATCATCCTGAGCTCCAGCATCATCCTGAAATTCAGCAGTTCTGACTTTAACCATGAAGCTCAACCAGACAAGTGGAGGCATCAGCTCAGGAATAAAATCCATGAATGTGCTGAAGCCATGCTGGGAACGCCACAGGAAAACCATGGTGCCCTGAAACTTTGGAAAACCTGTTTTTACTAAAAAGAAATGCTGGGGTAGATGTGAATAATTCACCTACAGCTGCACATTGTACAAGCAGCTTTTATCCATGGCCTGCCCTTGAATCCAGCATTCCTGGCTGGATCTCCCAGCATCCCTAAGCCCTGCACGGAGTTTCCCCTGGGGGATTTTTCCAGGTGCTGAGGTCAGGTTTGAAGTTTCCCCTGGGGGATTTTTCCAGGTGCTGAGGTCAGGTTTGCTGTGGGGCCTCAGCGATTCACACCTGGGCAATGGGATCCAATCCAGTGGAAATCCCAGTGGGGAGCAGGGTTTGGCCAAGCTGTGTCCCAGCTCTCCTCTCTCTCCAGCCCAATGCTCTGCTCCCAGCCTGTCCCCAGAGCTGGGTGACAAACTGAGATAATAATCCCTGTTATCAGCTCGGCTGTGGGTGACACTGCTCCAACCCACACTCTGCATCCTGCACGGAGACTGGAGCTGTCAGGGATGACTAAAAACTGTAATTAAAGCAAAGAAACCGCTGCCTGCCTCCTCCTGGCCTCATCCCTGCAGGCTGGCACCCAGACACAGAGGGCAGGAGCTCTGAGAGCCCCTGGGGGCACTCAGCTCACGAAAAGGGGAAAAGCCACAACCGATGTTGCTGCAGGACTCGAATTGGCAGCACAGAGGGGACAACTCTGCTCGTTTGGGCAGAGCCAGAGCTCTGCAGAGAGCCCTGGCACTGTGTCCATGCCAAGGGCTGCCTGCACCCGTGCCAGGGCTCCTGCATCCATGCCAGGGCTGCCTGCACCCGTGCCAGGGCTCCTGCATCCGTGCCAGGGCTGCTGCACCCCGCTGCTGTGCGGGGGCGAGGGATGCTCACCTGGGCAGCACCTGGCCCCGGCCAGGGCAGGGTTTGTGCCCCGTGCTGCCGCACAGGTGATGCCAACCCATCCCACGGCTCTGTGCCAGCTGTGCCAGGGCACAAACCCTTCCCAGGCTGCAGGAAAGGGGGCAGAACGCTGATGCCTGCAGAGGAGGCAGCCCCGGGGACACTCTGGGAGGGATTTTTGGTGTCACCGCTGCTCGGGGGCTGGCAGAGCGCCACTGCTCGCTGCTGGCACTCCTCCACGCTGCGGCCCTCCCTGGAAACCCTCCCTTGGCCCATCCACCCCGGGGGTTTGCAGCGCCCTGGCACGGGTCTGGCACGGGTCTGGCACGGGAGTGGCACTGCCGGGGACACCCGCTCTGCCCCGCGCTGTGCCAGCCCGGCCGGGCTCTGCAGGGCACCCTGGGCACGGCCGAGTGAGCGCCTGCCAAGGGAAACTCGGTGTGCCGGCCGGGAACAGCGTGTGTCCCGCCGGGAACTGGTCAGTCCTGTTCCCGTGTCCCTGCCCCGGGCAGAACACACCGGCACAGGGCACGGACCCGTTCCGTGCCAGAGCCCCAAACGCGCCCCAGATCCGGGGGTACCGCGCTTACCCCGCTCCCAGCGCCCCGCTGGATTTAAACACACAAACCTCCTCGTTTAAACTCATCCTGGCGCTTTGCAGAGCCCAAATTCCCCTCGCTGGGCTGGGCGCAGATCCCGGGGCCGGGATGCGCTCCCGGCTTTATCGGGGCGGCTCCGGCTGTGCCCGGGCCAAGGCACAACCCTGCCCACAGCTCTGCGACCCCCTAAAATAATGCCCTGCATGCCAGGGGGTACCTGAGAGCGGTGCCAAGCGGGGCAGAGACCGCACACACTCGGTGCATGCCAGAGTCAGCTCCCAGCCCATCCTGAGCCCCCTCCGGGACCCCAGTCCCTGACAAGGGAGGATTTTGGCGTGCGATACGTGTAGGTTTAGAGGATCTATTCCCCATCATCACCTCCTCTCCCAACCCCAGCGCTGGGAGATCCAGGCGGATCCTTCCCCTTCCCAAGCCCGGCTTTGGCTCGCACGGAGCGCTCCCAAACCATCACCCAGCCCTCGAACCGGAGCCATTTCCCGGCCACCCGAGCCCGGCGAGCTCCCAGCTTGCCCTGCTTCCCTTCCCCGAGCGCCTTTCCCTTTCCCCCGCTGCCATCAGACACCAGATGGCAGCTCCCCATCCGCCTTGCGAGGAGAATTAAATGGCCCTTTAATAAACCCGAGCTGCGCAAGCCGGGCTTTTGTGCGAGCTGCGGTTTCTCCTTTCACACTCCGCAGCCTCGCAGCTCCCACACAGCCACGGCCGCATCCCCAGGGAACCCCAAAACGGGGCGATTTATTCCGCAATTCCCATTTTTACCTGGCTAAAATTCCTCCCGGGGGATGTACCAGGCTGTGTTTTGGAAATGATCCCCCCAAAAAGCACACGCGTGGATTGGAGGGTGCTCCCTGCCCCGACCACCCTCAGCCCCCCATTCCCATGGGAAATGGGAAATTCTGCTTCCAGCGCCGGAGGGAGGGTCCGGGATGGAGCCGGGGGACACCGGGATGGAGCCGGGGCTGCAAACGGAGCCCAGGAACACCGGGAGCACCCGGGCACGATGGCTGCACCCCCTGGATGCTGAACCCAAAACCAGCTGGGACAAAAAAAGCGGGGTATCCCTTCCCGAGCGGGATATGGGGTCAGAAAAACGGATTAAAGCCCAGCCAAGCGCAGGCCTGTCCCCAGGCGGGGTCACGGCGCCATCGCCATCCTCATCCTCATCCTCATCCTCCCTTACCTGCAGCCGGGAGCCCCGCAGCGCCTCGGCTCGCCGCTGCCCCGGCAGCATCCGGCAGGCCGGGGACGGGCGATGCAGGGACGCGGGGACGCTGCTGTCCCTCCTTCCTTCCTTCCCTCCCTCCCTCCCTCCCTCCGTGCGGAGCTCCGGCGCTCCCGGTGCCCACGCGCGGCTGCGCCGGGAACAGCTCCCGGTGCCACCCGGGCACGCTGCGCTGGCTCACGGAGCCCTTCCTGCGGCACAGAGCCAGCGTTTCACACGGGGAGGGGAGGGATACCCACCCTCCACAGCCAGACTTTCACCCGGGGAGCGATCCCCACCCGGAGAGGGAATCCCCATCCTCCCCCCAAACCGGTCCCTGTGCGCCCTATGTTGAGAAAAATTAGGTGGGATCCCCATCAGAGAGGAGTTCTCCATGCTGTGATGGATCCCCAGAGCCCTTCCCGTGGCACACGGCCGGCGTTTCACCCTGGGAGCGATCCCCATCCAGAGAGGGAATCCCCATCCTCCCCCAAAACCTGCCCTTGTACGCCCTATATTGAGAAATATCAAGGAAAATTAGGTGGGATCCCCACCAGAGAGGAGTTCTCCACACTGTGCTGGCTGCCCAGAGCCAGCGTTTCACCCGAGGAGCAGTCCCCACCCAGGAAGGGATTCCCCATTCTCCCCCAAAACCAGCCCCTATGTGCCCTATATTAAGAAGAATTAGTAGGATCCCCATCAGAGAGGAGTTCTCCACGCTGTGGTGGCTCCACAGAACCCTTCCCACAGCACACAGCCTGATGAGGGATCCCCACCCAGGAAGGGATCCCCATTCTCCCCCAAAACCGGCCCCTGTGCACCCTATGTTGAGAAGAATTAGGTGGGATCCCCATCATAGAGGAGTTCTCCACGCTGTGCTGGCTCCCCACAGCCAGCGTTTCACCCAGGGAGGGATCCCCACGCGGGGAGACATTCCCCATTCTCCCCCAAAACCAGCCCCTGTGTGCCCTATGTTGAGAAATATTACGTAAGATCCCCATCAGAGAGGAGTTGTCCAGCCTGAAGTAGCTGCACAGGCAAATATGCAAAATATGGAGCAAAATGGTGTGGGGTCCCTATTAAAAGGGGGACAAATTATCTTAGGTCCCTGCAGGTGCAGATGGGAAAAATATCGAGGAAAATGAGGCGGGGTTTCCATCAAAGACAAATTCTCCAGCCCAAACCAGCCTAACTACCTGCACATGCAGACATCCCAAATATTGACCCAATATCTTAAAATAATAAGGTAGAGTTCCCAGAAAAAGGAGATTTTCCAGCCCAAACCAGCCTAACTACCTGCACATGCAGATATCCCAAATATTAGCCAGAATAAGGTGGTGTTCCCATTAAAGGGGGATTCTCCAGCCCAAAACAGCCCATCTGCACCCTGATATCTGGGACATTCAGCAAAATTAGACATCATTCACATCAAAGACAAATTCCCCAGTCCAAACCAGCCTAAGTTCCACCACATGCAGATATCCCAAATATTGACTAAAATAAAGTGGGGTCCCCATAAAGAGACCAAACCAGCCTAACTACCTGCACATGCAGATATCCCAAATACTGTCCAGAATGAGGTGGGGTTCCCATAAAAGGGGGATTCTGCAGCCCAAAACTCCTTGTCCAAGCCCCTCAGCACCCTGATATCTGGAAAATTAAACCAGAATAAGCAGGATCCCCACCGAAGGGGGATTCTTCACACTTTTCCTCACCTTCAGCTGATTTTCAGGCCTCCCCAGCACTCAGCCCCCTGAGGGCTGTGAATTATCTGCTGTGCCCCTGCCCAGCTGAGCCACTCTGGGGGAAAAGGCTCAGGTGAGATCATAGGTGGGGAGGAGGAACTGGGTGGGAGCAGCTCCAGGACAGGGCAGTGCTGGGATCTGGATTCTTCTGAGCCTCAGGAGGAAAACTGCAGGGGTTCCATGGGCAGAGATGGGAGCAGGGCAAGGCTGAGCCCCTGGGAGGGATGTCCTGGGCCAGGCAATTTTGGGATGCTCTGACACAAAGAGAAACAAATGAGCTTGGAGAGGCCACCAAGAGGAGCTTTGCCCTTGCCAGCCCATGCCAGCCCTCCCGAAAGGACCCTGGCACTGCTGGGTTAACCCAGAGGGGTCTCCCTGAGGATTTGGTGGAGAGAAGAGGATGGAAACCCCCATATCAGCACAGGATCCCTGCCCCTGCTCATCCTCCCCGCCCCAGCATCACCCCAACCCTGAGCAGAGCCCTTTGCTGTGCATCAGAGCCTCCCCCATGGACAGGGCACAGGAGCTGCTGCCCCAGCACACCCTGCACTCCCACTCTGGTCCCCAAGAAGAGGAAAAAGCAGCCAGCAAAAACCTCCCCCTGTGGAGCAGGGAATTGGTGATCCCAGGGAAACCCTGCTGGGGTGTGGGGAATGCAGCACCCCTGGCACAGCCCGGCCAAAGCTGAGCTCTGCTGCCCAAGGGCACCCCTGGAAAAGCACCCCAAGCCTCAGCTGGGTGCTGTTCAGTGCTCTGGAGGCGGGTGAGTCACTCCTGCCACGGAGCATCCTCGTCAAAGGGTGCAATTAGTGTGAAACTGCTCATTGTGCCCTCCATCCCCACACTGGGGATGCTGCACACCCATCATCATCATCATCATCACCCACAGAGGGAGCAGCTCCCTGTGATACAGCTCAGCAGGAACCCAGGAGCATCCCTAATTGCCTGCCTGCCCAGGGTGATTATTGTAATTAAGGCAGACTTCAGGAATTGCAAGTGACAGGGGGAAAAACACCCCCAGCTCTGACAGGGCACCACGGGGAGGGTTTGGTGCCTCCCCCTCACCAGTTCTTGTTGTTTGGTTGGTTTTATTCTGTTTATTCTGCTCCTCACCCTGGGTTTGCAGCATGGCAGGTGGAAATCCTGGGAGCTCACACGTCCCTGGCACCTGGAGATGCTCCAGGCCAGGCTGGACAGGGCTTGGAGCAGCTTGGGATGCTGGAAAGGGTTGGAATGGGGTGAGCTTTAAGGTCCCTTCCCACCTAAACCTAAAATTCCCATGGTTGTGTGAGGTTTTGTGTCTCCTCCACCTCAGCTCACAGCCCTGCCTGGGGATTCTTCACCTGAGCAAGGAGAGGAGAGGCCCCAACAGGGACAGGGTGATGTCCCCATCAAGGTGACAGCTCCATCAGGGACAGGGTGACGTCCCCAACAGGGACAGGGTGATGTCCCCAACAGGGACAGGGTGATGTCCCCACCAGGGTGACACCCCACAGCTCAGGGGAAGCAGATTTTGTGGAAGTTCCTGAAGCATTGGGTAATTCTTTGCCTCCCAGCCCTGAGCAGCAGGGCCAGGGGAGGAGCTGCAGACCCAGGAAGGGCTTTGGGGGCAGAAGGAGCCCAGAATCACAGAATGTCCTGAACTGGGAATGACCCCAGGGATCATCCAGCCCCTGAGTGACCCTGTAAAATGCTGCTGTGAGGAATGAGCTAACAGCTCTGATAAAAACCTCAAAACCTCTGATAAAACCCCCAAAACTCTGATGAAAACCCCAGACTTCTGATAAAAACCCCAAAGCTCCAATGAAAACCCCAAACCTCTGATAAAACCCTAAAGCTCTGATAAAAACCCCCAAAACTCTGATGAAAACCCTGATAAAAACCTCAAAGCTCTGATAAAAACCCAAAACTCTGATAAAACCCCAATCCCCAGGCCCTGTAACACCCCAGGCCAGGCTGCCCTGTGCCAAAGAGGGGCAGCTCCTTGGGCAGGGCTGTGCCAGCAGAGCCAAAGCTCCTGCAGAGGGACAAGGACAACCAGAGGCCCCAACAGCACCCAGCCACAGCCCCAGGATGAGTTAATTTACACCAGGATGAATTAATTTGCATTAATAGCAGGAAACCACCCAAGCCCCCCAAAGAAACTCACCCTCCACCATGTCAGGGCTCAGAGATTCGGCTCAGCCTCCCAAGACAAGGAGGATCTCAGGTTCCTGGCGCTGCTCTGAGCTCCTGGCCCCTCAAACCCAGCACCCAGAGCAGCACAACGCAACCCCAGCGTTGCCTCACCGGGGCTGGTTGTGACACAGCCGCTGCAAACCTGAGTAAAGCTGCTCCTGCACGCTGACCCTCTGCAAATCCCTCCTAATCCAATCCTGTTTGTGGCTTTAAGCTGGACCCTCCCATGCTGGACACCCCAGTTTGCTCCACACTTGGGGAAATCCTGGGATTTTCTCAGTGCTGGGTGAGGATCTGATGCAGGAGAAAGCCCAGTGTCACAGACAGCTTTTATGGAAAAGCCTTTCCTTGGGATTTTTCCTCCTGAGGAGCTGAGAGGCCTCAGGAACAAAATGCAAACAATGGTTATCTGCTGCTGTGGGATGCAACAGGTGGATCTGTGATTGGTCTCATTGAGTTGTTTCTAATTAATGGCTAATCACAGCCCAGCTGTCTGGACTCTCTGTCTGAGACACAAGCCTTTATTATCATTCTTTCTTTTTCTATTCTTAATAAGCCTTCTGATAAAATCCTTTCTTCTATTCTTTTAGCATAGTTTTAATATAACTATATATTATTATATATTATTGTATAATATATTATATGTATTATATATTATATATTATATATAATATAATATATTATATATATTATATATAATATATTATATATAAACAATACAATAACATATAATATATAATATATAATATATAATATATAATATATAATATATAATATATAATATATAATACATAATATATAATATATAATATAAATAATACAATAATAAATAATATAGATAATATAATAATTAAAGATTAAATAAAGTATATAATATATATAACTAATATATATTAATTATATATATTATATATAACTAATATAATATAATATAATAATATATATAATAAAATAATAAGTGAAGCCTTCTGAAACTCCATGTTCTGTAACATGGAGTCAGATCCTCGTCTCTTCCCTCATCCTCAGGCCCCTGTGAACACCGTCACACCCCAGAGCTTCCTTCTCCCCGTGTGTGGAGGTGTTTGGGGACAGGGACCTGCACTCCCAGCTCATATCCCACTGGCACAATCCCTGTGTGCCACCTGGGCATGGGAACCCTGCCCCTGTGCCAGCCTGGCACAGCCAGGAG